CTCTGCAGAAGTAATGAATTGCCTGAGATGGACCAACGTTTCACTTAAGGATAGTCACACTCAATTTTGATAAACATCACACAAGAGAGATCAACAAATAGCTTTCACTGGTAGCATAATACAAGTATAATTCTGTTCAATACTGAAGTAATGTTGATAATCTACTTGGGATGATCTAATGAGTATTCGACCCAACTATAAAAGCAAATGTCATTTAGGAAGATTCTGGTCTGCCTAATCAAACCCACTCTTCTTAGTTCTGTATTAAACCACCTTTCTACTGTAAAATCCCTCTCAAAGGGATAAACCACATTTACAATTATTCTAAGTTAAAAGATCACAGACCACGTGATAGCCTTTAGTTTTAGAGAGGGGATGTGTACACTGCAAAGGTGATAGTCTTCAAAAAATCTGTAGCTGTACCTGATTTCATGTTAATGAATCTCAGGACCAAGTACGACCAACCTGCCCTGTGCAAGCCCACCCTCTCTCCACTGTGGCACTCCAAGTCTGCTGTTGTGTCATCCCAGGGCTCATCTCTATTCCCCACATGAAGACAACCCAGAATGAAAGGCAATGGCATATCCATTTATCTGAGGAACTTATTTTTTCCACTATTTTTCATTGTTTTTCCAATTCTTTTAAACTCCCATTCTAGATATAATGGTTTACTGGGAGAGGTCGCAAACACTGAGGTGAATGTTCCTCGTTATTTGACTCCTTCCCAGCACTATCTGATCCTTTATTTTGTTCAGGGTTGTGTATTTGAAAAGAGAACAGCATCTTTATTATTTAGCCTATTTTTGATCACCTCTAGTTCTAGGATCCAGATAGTTCCCACAGAAAATTATGCTATTACCTAAATGACTTCACTGTTTATTTTTCCCCTTAATGTCTAACAGGATTTCCTCTTTTTCAGTTTCAATATGTTACTCTGCAATTCCTCCTCTGTGCTTTTTGTAAATTATTATCCTCTCGTAGACTTAATAGGTGTCCTCTAGTGTGATTCAGAATGTTTTTACATTCATTTTGAAAGTTCTATTTTCCAGGCATAAATAACTGTAAATGTAGATATTCATCAGTGTTTATGGATAGGTACAAGAGACGCTATTTCCTAGCAATGTCTGACTTAAGTGACTGTATCATCATAAGAAGGAGGCAAACATCTAAATAACATATCAATAATTATTGATAAGAGGTGCAAATGTACCAATACACAACATAGTGCTGTGTGATACTTTTAAAGAAAAATCAGATTAATTTTAGCCACAATGCCATTTTTTAAATAACAAGCATATTCAATCACTAAAATTTTTCCCCGTGGGTCTCCTACTCCATTTTTTTAGTCTTATTAATGAGAAACAATTCCTTCTTTGTTTAATGGCAAAATGCTTAGAGCTGCTCACTTAATTTCATATATGGCCTTACTGGGTTATCTGACAAATAATAATTTTCATTCCTATACTCTTTATAAAGCATATGTGGTTTTTAGTTTTCCTTTTGAAGTGATACCTCAAAAGAAGATCTAAAAAAAGAAAGAGAGGACTTAATATTAATCTAGCACTGATTCCATGCATGCTGAAAGAGTGATTCAAAATTCAGCACCTCTAAATTTTTCATTATCTTAATGCTCCACCTTTTAACTTGGCTTTCCAGTTAATATATAGTATAGCTCCAACAATGTATCTTTGTAATGAGATCTCTCCAGGAGCTTGTTCCTGGCTTCATGGTGCCTCATCTGCCTCCCCAGGATGTTTCTCCCAAACAATGAAACTGTTCACCACACTCATAGGAAGTTTGCAAACTTGGGATAGAGAAATATCATGGCGTTTATTTCAAAAAGGAGGAAATTACTCCTATAAGTGAGTAGAGCAAGATCAAGATCAAACCCCTTCCATAATTCATTACAATTTTTCAGTAAATATACCTTTTGTCACTGAATTTTTCATGCCTACGCATAAACACAAGGAAGGAGAAACACGTAAACTGACTGAAGAAACTCTATCATCTACCTTTTCTTCCATAGGTGAGAAAGAGAAATTTATTCTCTTTTCTGTTTCTGTTCATGCACAGAATTTTGTTTTCTGTAGGTGTGTATATATTTGAAAAACTGCACTACAGACGGAGAGGTCATACAGGGATAAGCAGAGAGTTTTCTGCAATATGCCCCTTTCTGTAGAAGAAAGTAACTGTACCACACAATGTTTTACTTCATCTACTGTTTCTCAGAACGCATAGAAAGAACAGGATAGGCAATTTTGGGTAATTGGAAGAGTGTTATATTGTAATCAGTGGTACACAGGTTTACATTGTGCCTAACAGCGTAAAATTTATCAATATATGTATGAGGGTCTCTGGTCTCTTAAATTCTCTGATAGCTACATCACAGCTAATATGGAATGAATGAGTTTTAGACCTAATTCTATATATCTAAAAATGCTGTTATATTGGTAGCTTGCTTAACTTTCTCTTTAGAGTAGATAAAAATCATGTTCTGATTGAAATATTTAATAAGAAGCCATCACTGATGCTAGGAAGAAAAATGAAACCATGGTTCTTCCATGTACATTTAAAAATTTCCAGCAACAGATCACGCTATAATTGAAGGCTGTTCAACTTCCAACTCCAAAAAACGTGCTATATTTGATGTATTGATTTAGATCTCTCACTGGATTTTTTTAAGTATGGAACATTTCGGAGCACATTTCCCCATTATACCAAGTTTCTAAATCAAATGTGTCAAAATTGAGTCATCTTGAGGTTCTTAGCTCATATTTAGATACCTCAGCAAGAAGGTTTTGTAGAGGTGAATTTCAAAATTCCTGAGCAAACCCTTTATTATAAATTAATACCAGAACTGAAAACACTGGCCTAGATGTTTTTCCTTAGTTTTTGAAATCTATAATTTATGTCTTTTGAATAAAGCATTATTCAACAGTCGAAAGAGTGAAGCTACTTCATACTATACTTGATGTTAAACATTAATTTACTGCCCACAATTTCATCAGATGTGGGATTTTTTTTAGAAGTCCCGGTACTCTTAGTTCTGGTATTCAAAGCTGACAAATAGATAGATTAAATTAAATTTTGACACCATGAAACTATAGTGTACTGAATAACAGGGAAATTGTGATATTCGAGGTTCTTGGCTACAGGCAGGAACATGCAACACAATTCAAAAAAGACAGATGCAAAAATTATTTAAACTTCTCTAACTCTTGATTAGAGAAACTACTACAATCCTGCCTTCCCTCCACCCGATATTTCCCATGCTCCACTCATTTTTGCTTTTAACTGATAGCGATGCAAATGGCTATTAAAGTTTGTGAAGAGACTTATTTCCTCCTATAGAAGCAGTTACATTAAACAATCTTTCTGTCAGGAGTAAATTTCTGCTGGACTGGATGATCCTTTCATGAGGTATGCAGACCTGTTCTCCCAGTACACCTTTGTAGTCTGGCTTCAGAAACACATACACAAACACACATACATAACACTCTATACTGATGTGCTTAGTTCTCTAAATTGCAATCCTGAGAATGAGAGAAAATCGTTTACCTGCATCTCCCTTTGTTTGCTCCTCTAATAACTGGTAAACAAATCATAATCGCTACAAAACTCATATAAGAAATCACCATATGCTCAGATTTTACTCGTAGACATGTACCAGACTCTACACAGTTTACAGAGTTTCATTTATTTATTGCCTTCTCTGCAATGTTTATTTACTGTGATATAGTAGCTGACTGTACAGTTGCAAGATTAAGGAGCATTTATTTCTACGCTAGTCCAAGAGTTTACAAGTAAGCAGGTAAAAGTACTGGTAGATAAAAGTAAAAAAGTGATTATTATTTTGTGGTGTACTATCTGAAACTACACACAAAAATTTATAGACCAACCCATTTTTAAACATGTTAATTAATACTTTATGAACATAATTTTATCCGTAGCCATTCCTTAAAGTCAGTGAATTCAAACCATTGAAGAAGTTGGTTCGCAATTCAAGAACTGTTACAAGATGGTAGCCTCAAACCACAGAGTAAGCTTACTCTTAATTACTTTCCACTTCATGTGCAGGAAATGGTATAAGAATTCTTAACATAATACCTTGTTCTTCTTATAATCAGTTCCTGTGAGAGTTATTATATGAAAATAGGTTGAACTGTACTTTGTGGAGTGGGTTGCTTTGTTTTATTTTACCTGAAGAGTCCAAAAGAAGAAGAAGGAAAAAAAAAAAAAGACATCTCAAAAGAAGTAAAACCAGCCTTTCTATGCACTGGAAAGAACAGATTTGTGCTTGTATGTTTAGAACTTCCACATTTGTGAACAACGAGCTTTTAAGACCCAGTTTTGGGATTGTGTCACAGTAGCAGAAATCAAAGAGTGAAGAGTAGGGATGCTGATAAAGACTAGGCTTTGTAACAATGTTTTTATAAAGATGTAATTGCTATGTGTTTTTATACCTTTCTATGGATTCAGCACCAAGAGCAGAAGAAGGAAGACATTTTTACCAAGCTGTGAAGACAAAATGTTACAGAAACAAATTCTGACATACCTAAGTAGGAAAAAAACTTACAAACTTCTCTGAGACTTTTATGACTAAGGTTGATTGATGCTCTCACTTTGAAAACCAAATCCTCTTATGAAAATAGTCATAGGTAGATGTGCTGTTTAGGCCTGATTCATAAATTTGTCATTTTTCAGGTCACAGGTCATATTTTATTATCTTTTATTCTACATACATTCAAAATTTTAATACGTATTCAGAGGTCTTCTTGAATTGTGAACCATTTTCTTCTTCTTTGGGGTATAAGTGTGAGACAACAGAGTATATGAAAGACAGAGAAGGCATGGCATTTTTGAAAAAATGGATAGTACATATCGGCATTATTTTATGTGTATATATAAACAGAATTAAAATAAGTATATAATGGAAAAATAACATTGCTTTAACCGATTTTTATCTAACGTGTAACCTTGAAAATTTTAATACAACACACCTCCGAGTCCTGGTCTCAAGCGGTTATCATAACCATCCAGCAGACGATCCAATATTCTGGTAAATACTGTGGTGTTGTCTTTAAGTTCATCTTGTGATGAGGTTTGTCCATAACTGAAATACAGAACAGTTAACACTGAAAAACAGTAATGCACTAATTACCTTACAAAACAATAATTACAAAATCTGTTTAATCTTGCTTATACTAGTTTATGGGCACAAAATCTCCTCCATAAAACAAGATTGTAGTGCTTTATAGGGTTCTTTCACTTAAACATTTTCTTCTTAAATTGTACATTTTTTGTAAAATCATAGAAAATCAGTGTCTCTCTATAAACAGTGAGCAAATAGAGCATCAGTTCCTTAATGTTTATCTCATTATTCATTAATGGTTATAATGTTCTAATATGTGTGTTCCTCAGGAGAAGGCTCATTTATTAATAATGTGTTTAATTCATAATAGTAATAAAAGGTTTGCATACAAAGAAAGATAAAATAATTTAGAATACTGACACTTAAGCACTGAAAATAAATGCTAAAACAAAGATAAAACAAAAAATACAGAGATGTCTTATGTAGGAATATAAAAGTAAATCAAGTGAGTGCGCATTTTCATAGATCAATATATAATTTTGCTTTATTTGCCATTTTCCTTTAGCAATCAGATTTGGAGGAATACCTCCAACTTTTCCTTACACATGTGTAACAAAACCATCTGTTGATACGGAAATCTCTCATGTCTATAAAGCTTCACTTACAGATCCCTAATGTATATCTATAACTCAGCCAAAGGTCCTGAAATTTTGCTTGAACAAGGATAAAATTAAGCTCTTTGAACTCAGCTACCATAATCTTACCTCCATCAATACAAATCATAAAAAAATCCTTGGGCTTAGTCGTTTCTGTCTGCTGTAGATGACATCAGAATTAACCTTTTTCTTAAATCTGAAACCTTTACCAAATACCCTTGTCATAGATGATTCTCTTAATCATAGATTACAGTTGTCTTAAAGCCAAACCCCATATTGTTTTTTTCATTCATTGCTGGGAAGACTTCCATTATAAACGTGTAGTCATCATGACTAAAAGCAAAAACACTGCTTTCCAAAACATCATTTTGTCACACACGTTGCTACTGAACTGGATAAACAAACAGTGCCAAAACCTTTTGTTAGGATCAGGTCTAGTTATGAAAGTGACTCTTCTGTTGGGCAGCTTGTTATCCATACGGCTACGGCGATGTGCGTGCCTCGGTGCTCTGTGCCAGCTGTTTCTGCTCTACCCAGCAAAGACCATCTTATGAGAAATATACTGTTACATGAAATGATCTGTGTCTATTAAAATACCTACAAAACTATTTTCTCTAAGCTGCATCAGTCAAACATCCTTTGTGTATCCTACATGTATATTCCACTTGTATCAAATATATAAAGAGGGAGGAAAGATACCCTGAATATAGGTACTCTGGAAATGCTTCCAAGTTATTTTGCTGTACAGGTTTGGATATGTAACGCTACGAATTTAAATGAGTTTCAGCACTGACACTCATAGAAGTTTTACTAACTTTTGTTTTATTTCAATAGGATGTGATTTTGTAGAGAGCAATTTTCAGGGTTTTTTAATGCATATAAACCACTGGATCTAATTAAGAAGACAAAATCTCTAACAGTTTTAAAAAACACTATGAATTTTGTCTAGCCGTATCATATAATTTCACTTAATAAAAAATTAGGTTGATTTATATTTATTTTTCATACCTACAGCTGAATTTTCAGTCACAGATGTTAATATTTTTTTTCCTTTATGCTTCCTGTATGTTATCAAATACCAAGTTCTCCTGCTGTCTCCAGTAAGTATTATCTTTCAAAGGATCATTCCTCATACGCCTAACGTAGAACTGTGACACAGGACTTTTCACTGGATTAGATTTTATATTAACAGTCGTTGTCAGTTAACAAGCTGCTTGCTGTACATACATATCTCAAGGATAGCAGAAGGTCATCAGGATTAAGGTGGCAAAAGGATATAAGAACACTTCAGAAATGTTAGTGGTAAATAAACGAGTATGTTTGCAGAAGAGGCGTGAGAAAGATGGACTAGTTGCAGTGCAGTCGGAAAGGATGCAATACAATACACCGCTTCCATTCTGGGTGTCGCATGTGTCAGTACCCTTACCTGTTCTTCCCACCATTTTATCAGAGGTAAAAAGCACCATTAGGGCTGGTTTTAACTGACATATGGTCACAACAGGAAGAATCTGAACATTTGTGTACATGTGAAGTATACTGCAACTCCAGAGGGATTGTGATTTTTCATTCAAAACACATGTATTAAAATAGTCATAATGCTGGTTTTTTTATGACAAGGAGAATGATATGGAAAGACTGTGTCTTTCTGTGTCACAGACACTTTATCTAATTCATCAATTGTTTTTTATCATAAAGGATCAACTGTACTCCAGAAGAAAAGGCAAGGGAAGTTACTATGACAAAATGGCTTTAGAAACAGATATATTGCATGTAAGGTGTGTACATTTTGAGGAAAAAGTGACTGTATGTGACTGTGTTTTCATATTAAACCACAGTATAATAAAAAACTGTGCACTAACTCCATCTACAGGTCATTATAATAGTGACACACCACATAATTTTTAAATACTAGTCCAATGCATTTTAACTCTCACTTTAAGAATGCACATGCATACATTATAGATATAATAAATATATGTACACATATATATGTAACAGCTATATAATAAATATGTTTTCACAAAATTCTCTAGCTAGGCCAGATGAGACACTTCATGAATACTTCAAATTTCACCTTTTTAAATATATTATCAAAATAAAGGTATTGGTTCTCAAGTGTCATGTTTATTCAATACAGCAATTGTTACGTGAATCACCGCCCCCCCCCCCCCCACTTTTTTTAGATTTTTTGCTTGTGCAGATGAACCTTTGCCCTTTGCCCACTCCACCCTATTTAAAATCTTCAAGGCAGCCAGAAGAGAAGTTTTCTCTACAGATGCAAATACATAAGGAAACACTGTGAAGATCAAGGCACAAATACATCTTTTAAGGATCACTATTGACAATACGAAATTTCTACTGCTTTTTGGTCATTAGGTAACGTTATTGACAGGACATTATTTTTTTTAAAATACAGAAACATATCTATGAGTCTTCTTAAACACCTTTACTGAATTTTGGATTGCAGACAGTACTTCAAGTATACTCCAAACTGCTTTATAGCCTTTAGTTAACCTACTAGTTGTTGGATGAGTATGTGACTACAAGTTAATACTAATGCTATTTTTAGATTATTTCAACATATATTCCATAAACATTCAGCACAGCATGGTCTTTTAAACATAAACTGTTATGGGGTTTGAGCTTACAAATTCTTCTTCATCCAAGCAGTCTCCCTTCATCAGGAAGGTCTACTTCAGATTTGCAAAAACAGCTACTTAGTTGGGACACAATCCTGACCAACGAAGAAGTGAAAGTTTTGCCTCTGCTTGCAGGGACAATAAAGTTATTAAATAGCACTTAAATGTTATTAAAAAAACCTTAATTACACTCTTTTTGTCCTCTAAAGAAACTTGTATTTCTGAGCAGTCGTTGTATAAGAGTAGAAAGGATTGCACAGGTGTTTAAGAGGTAGTTTAGTTTCAATTTGTTTCAGAAAGCTTTTGCTTTTTTTTTCTTCACAATATTGAAAAAAAGATGTTATGCAAACAAATTGTAGTTTTCTTTCAGTCTTCCCTTAGTTAGATTTAGCTGGGATTTGAACAGGGATTAACTTCCCCCAATACACTTAGTAGTAATGCAGCCCATGCAGTATTTGTCTTATGCTCCTATATTAAATTAAAGGTTCCTAAAATATGTTGGTGCATTAAAAAATAGCTCCCCACCTTCTTTCAGTCAATGCATTCAGAAGGAGGCTCCAGGCCCAGAGGCAGTCACAAAGCACCAGGAGTCTCTTCATGGTGGGCTCTGAAACTAGAAGGAAAATAATCATCAGTGTCCCCTACATTAAAACAGGTACTGTGGAAAAAAAATTCTGATTTTGGAAACTTTTGCAGAATGATTTGATGTCAGGCAATGACCTCACAATACTGTAGTTCATGTCATTCAGAATAAGGGAGCATGGCCTTGGCTGTTCTCCTATTTACCTTCTACTTTTAGACACAGAGGCTTAGAGTGCGATTTATTTTGCAGTAAGGGTGTATTCTTGTTTGCATTATTCTTGAACTTAAAAAAAAAACCAATTATGAGTTAAAGCTGCTGTCCCCAAATTCTGTGGCAATTCTTACTCAGTTTCCTCCTGTGTTGAAAATGTGACAAGGCACCTCCATAACATTTCCAGATAACTAAGTGTAATTGGGTTTTGCTTGACTTGAACCAGCTCGAGTCCTTCCAAACCTCTTGGAAGGTGTCAGTCTGTGGTAGTGTGATGAGGCGAGAGGTGCTTTCATCACAGCCACTGCTTTGCTTTGTTGTGATGGAAGCAACTTTCTTCTACAGATACTACTATTCTCCTCTTCCCTGAACTATTAGCGTCAGAGGAGGAATAAAATGATCAGATTCTGACTCTATGATCTGCTGCTACATAGGCACACTAATATTTTTGTTGGGCTAAAGGGCACAATTCATAATCAAACCATGTGCTGACAACCTACACGCCATCTCCTAAATCTCAACCAGTCTCTGATTGCTGCTAGGAAATGTTTTTGCATTAGCTGCCGTCTCCTCCTCTCCAAATGTCTCCTGTCCTCTCTCCAGACTTCACTGAGTTACTCTCAGTTTACCTTGGAGTAAAAAGTAATGCAACTCAGAAGGTTTCTTTTGCTTTCTAATAAACCATAAAATACAAAGTTAGATGATATTTGTTGAATCGGTGTTCTAGATTCAGCTGATTGCCCAGGAGATGCTGCAGGTCAAATGCTTTACATATCTATATACTGTGCACTGGATTCCAGTCGATTTTTGGTATTCATTGCATTAAATATGGACAACAAAATATGAAGCCTGTATTTTCCTCCAGTTGTGAACTGAAGGTTTTTTAAGTGCCTGCGAAAATGAAGCACTGTACGTGGAAATGTTGTTGTACCTTTAAATAAGCTACCCCAATTCACTGCACACTCTCAGGGACAATTTAAATCAATAAAATATCATTACAAAGCGGTATGTAAGCAATGAGATATAATTAATGCGTTTATAGCCAAATGATCGGCAGATAAGCATTGAGTGGGGCTGAGCTAATTAACTGGATAGCAAGGAGCTGGATGTGGCAGAAAAGCGTGGGTAAAGATCTTCAGGGACGAGACGGCATCTTAACTTGCCCTGTGATCAGCCCCCTTACAAAGGGAAAGGCAACATCTGTGGCTTCAAAAATTGCCTTCTCCCGGTCCTGCCAACTTCTGCCTTTGCAAAAGGCTCCTCGGGGTAAAGAACGGAAAGTGAATTATTCTGACTATCTGGATCTGTTGAGCTCCACGCTTCCCCCCCCCTCCCCAACACCTCCCCCCCACTTTAATAAACGCATACAGGCACTATAAATCCTGCGGAAGGAAAGTTTCTTGCAGCTGGAAAAAGCAAATGTTAACAAAGACTTTGAAGGCGGGTTAAACACCAGCAGCCCCCAGACCCTGGCCTCTCTGAGCCCGCACCGCCTGTGAAACCAGCTCTGGTCTTCCCATTCAAAATGGGAGTAAAATCCACACTTCTG